TAGCTTGCATTTGTATTCCCCTCAGTACGTTACAGCCACGACCATCTTTAATGATGGAGATGGTGCGTTTAGTGAAAGGTTCTCCAACTCCAGTGCTTTTCTATTTTACCACCAAATCTGAAGATTGCATCAGACTTTAATACATTTTTTTATTTATGTAAAGTGCTGAAAGCATTGCATCAGTTTTTTGTCCCACTTAATTAATCATTACACCCCATACTCAAAAAAGACAACAAACTATATATATATATATATATATATATATATATATATATATATATATATATATATATATATATATATATTACTGAAGTATATCGTTCTAAGGTGACAAAATGTGAAAAAAAAATTCAAGTTCTACAAAAACTTTTACAACATATGAATCTATGTTGGTTCAAAGTGGAAGTTCTTGTTTACTCAGTTCTGTAATTTCCTCCTGTCTGATGAAATAGTTGAACTGTTTATGACCCAACTGAGCTGTGTTGCAATCTATCACCCTGCCAAACCCCAGCCAAGCAAAGAAGCCAGGTTATACTGATCCACCATCCTCTGGCTGATTGCTTCGGGAGCCATACCTGATGGGAGGAAAGCAGCTTGCTGCTGAAACTGCATGCTGGCCAGGGCTTGTTGGTACTGAAGCATGCCAGTGTTAAACATGGCTGTGGCCCCGTTGGCCTTCTCCAGAGCCGCCCGCTTTGGGAGGGGAGCCATGACACTAGGGGTGATGCCCTGCCCGTCCACATGGAGGGAGGACAGTGAAAAGGGAAAAAAAAAAAACAAAAAAAAAACAAGAGGCAGAGATAGACAGAAAGAGAGGTGTGTGGAATTTAGAGAAGGTGTGTTAGAAAGAGGCAAAGACAGGGAAGAAAACAAGAAAAAAAACGTTAGAGAACATCAGAGAAACAGAGCCACAACATCTTTGTGTGTACAACAATTACAATATCATATCATCAGTAGCAAGCAAGCAGCAGTCTGACACAAATACTACACAAGCAGGAGCATGATGCCTACTGGAGCTATGAGCTGACAGGCATTTACATATTAATAAAAAAAGGCTTTATTATTAACTTTACACACACATAAGGCTGACTAATAAAGCAAGCATTAACCATTAAAACAATGAGGCTGCTAACGAGGTGGAACAGGTAGTAAGCACAGAGAAAGGGAGGCTGCACTGCTAGCTCCATGATAAACTGTGTAAGCCATGTTTAAGTGATGGTTCACTCTCAGAAAAAAAATAAAAAAATCTATCAAAAATGGTTTAAAGCCAAGAAAATAAATAATCAAATAAATAACTGCAAGGCGTAACACTTGGCGTTAGGCCATTCTTGACTTCTGGTGATTAGTGTCAAGATCAAGATATGAGTGAACTATCATTTGTTACAACTAACCTGTTAATGTGGGATCACTCCTGTTTGGTTAGCCTAGCCCCCACCCAGATCCATTACCCATGCACTAGCAACACAGACATGCACACATTTGATTGACACTGACATTTAGACACACAAGACTTGAAGCCATGCCACTTTAATAGAAGCTCTACTTCCCTCGCCCTCGCTAACTTTTGTTAGACAGGCTGCAGGCGATGAAATGACTGTGGCTCTTTACCACAATCTGCAACAGTGAATTTGTGTTTTTGCACATTTGACACAAACCGTTTGAACTCTTAACGGGCCACAGTCATTGTATCACAAGCAGCAGTTATAGAGTAACAAGAAGAAGAAGGAGAAGAACACACACTGCACTGAGACGAACATTGTAAAACAAAACAAAACAAAAAAACACACAACAACAAAAAGCTAAGTATCTTTGGTTAAAACACTGCTGCACAACAAAGCCACATGCGTGCCAAGCTAAAAGGTGAAAGGTCATAGTACCAGGTCAAAGGTTGCGTCGAGGGGTCGCTTCAGTGATTTGACAGCCGACTGAGTCTTAATTAGCAGGCAGCGAGCACATGATGGCAATGGGCCAATGGGGTTCAAGCGCATTAACATAAACCAGCAAGCAGAGGTGCATCATGGGGGCAGCAGTGCAGTTTGGGTATAGGTGAGAAAAAACAAAAATAAAAAAACAAATCATTGGAATGCAATATACAAAGGGGATAACAGGGCTAAGGCATGCACAGTGTGGACATTAGCTCTACTACTCAACAGTTAAATCATCATCAGAGAGATGATAACTACCGGACTACAGTGGTTATTTTCACACAGGAATAAATGAAAACAGAAAATGATTCATCCATCATTTGAAAAGAGCCTCAGCAAATAAACAGCAAAAAAAAAAAAAAATGTACAAGGGGGTAAATTCACATTTCTCCGTTTCACTGTGCACGTCACGTCACATTACACTGATTCACCCCCATGTTCTCTGTATTGCTGCACCACTAAAAAGCACGTGGAGATAAACGGGACGTGTGGCTGCGCTACTAATTCACCGGCACCATCACAGCAGGAAAAGACAGAAGGCACAATGAAATCGTTTCAAATAATATCAAGAGGAAGAGAAGTTGTAGGTAGGAACAACAGAAACAATGGAGTCATAAAGGAGGCCAGGCAGAGAGAGACGGACAGAAAAGGAACTGGACTCTCTGCTCGTGGTCTGAGATGAGATGAACAAGGAACGAAACAAATGGTTTGACAAATGAGGAAGAAGAAAAAAAAAACGCTTGACATGACAGTAGTCCTGGTTACAGTACACTGTTGTCTCATCCTTCTTCATGTCATCCAGCACAGAGCAGATTTTACCCACACCAACATGCAGACCTTTTAATATTTGACCTGGCAAAAGCAGAACTGAAAATGTTACACAACAACCAATTAGGAAGGCGAGACACGTTCAAACATGAAGGTGATTAACTTTGGCTCAACACAGCTACACTTGCTAGCAAATACAAAACTTCTCTCTCTCTCTCTCTGTCTTTTCTGGATTTGAATGAGTGCGACCGCACTGAAAGGGAACGCTCACCATGGCCGCGGCAGCCGTGGCCTGGTTCACCTGATGCTGGGTGGCCTTAATTTTGGCCTGCAGGTGGGCCGGGGGGTGAAAGTACTTGCACTTTTCCCTGGTGCACCGGCCCTTGATGTAGTCCATGCACACAGTGACGGTGTTGTCATTGGTGTCAATCATGGTGCTGTCTGCAGGGTGAGCGAAGCGGCACTCGCCCTCCCCCCGAGCGCAGTTTCCCCTCTGGTACTCCCGGCACACCTAAATGAGTCAGAGGGAGAATGGTTAAACAGTTTCCACGTCAAAATCAAAACGCTGCGAAGTAGTAAATAAAAGTAAAAAAAAAAAGAAAAAGAAAAGAAAAATATGTACGACATGATCGAAATGCTTCTCTTTGACTCAACAACACCTACTGCTACTAAAAGTATCTAACATGTTGATTATTAAGGTTATAATGACGTTAATTGTTACGTTTATTTACTGTTGCTTTGATATTGATTTGTAGCTATAAAACAATTAGTAATAAATTGTTTATTGCGCAGGACAGACACACCTTTTTCTCCTTAATAACAGATTCTAATAAACAGAGAATTACACAGTACAAGGTACAAAATCTGTATTTAAAATATTTCTATTTGGTTAAATGTGTAAAGATAAAAATGTAAAATATTATAGTGAACCCATTTAGTAGTTGGAACACTTAGTGGTATGTGCTAGTTTTCCTGTTGTGTTACATTTTTAAAGAGTTTTGGTCTTAAAACTGTATTTTTGGGCAAGATTATTACATTTAAAATCTACCAATTTCTTAATGTTATTTTCCTTTGTTACATTACTGATGGTTCCACTTGCTTAAAGCAGAGGTCAAGTAGGATTTTAGGCATACAAAAGAGATTTTAAGTAAATGTCTTTAAAAAAGTTAAACAAGTGGAGGGGGGAGACCTGGTGTAAGCAGCATGCTTTGTGGTTTAATGCCGTTTGTTATTAAAAGGTAAACATTTTTCCAGTATGAACAAATACGATATGCACAGTTTAATCTTCAGAAGCTTCTCAAGTTTAACTTTGAGACAGTAGAGGGCAGCACTTTCTTTAAAATAAGAGCTAAAACCTTCTTTTAGCACCTAACCTGAATTGAACAGAAATGTTGCTGTGCATGCTTCGTCTTCTAACTAATACATGAGCAAGATTGAGTTAAATCTGCTAGTGCAATATTGAAGATTTTTCAACATCAGAGATTATAGATTATTTTCTGTGTTTTTTTAAGAGTCATATCTTTGCTGCTGGTGCTTTCTGCTCAACCAAAAGCAATTTCCACACAAATCAGAATTTCTTCTGGTGATTTCAGTCATGAAAAACCTCAAGACGGCAGCAGCAGGGACATGAAGGACAACTTCTCCTGTGACTTGGGCCTTCGAGTAGAAAGAGTCCCATTTTTTGTGTTTTTTATCTTCTATTAAACCTGTGATGTTCACATTTACCCATTGCATGAAGTACATTTGGTTAAAGTGAACGTCTTACTGGGATACAGTAGACTGCCTTCTAACAGGAGCATTTTCCCTTGAAAACAAAAAATGCTGAGAAATAAACAGGTTGCACCCATTGTTTTGTCTGTTACCTCAAGCCGGTCTGTTCTCAGCAGTTTCTGGGCTGCGGCAGCAGCGGCATTGGGAACTTGGCTGACGGTGGGGCTGGAGGCCATGAGCATGGGGGTGCTGGGCAGGATCTCCGGAGGCATCAGGCTCGGAGACACAGGGCTCAGGTAGGGATTAAAGGCTGCAGCGGCAGCAGCTGCTGCTGCGCTGGCGTTGGTCGCCAGGCCTGGTGTCACTGAAAACATGGGCTGGAGCAGGAACAAAACAAAAAGTAAAAAAAAAAAAAAAACTCTGATTGTGAGACTGTTTGCATTCACAAGCCTTCTGTTTGAGAAAATATACAAACTAATGACAAAAACAGCTGAAGAGAGATGAAGTTACGTGGAAGGCCTTATGAAAGAAGTTTATATTTGAACTTTTTCACAATTTGTCACCTTAAAAACACAAACTTCAGCTTCCCATGTCGTTGTTTAACTGACAATGTTTGATTGAGAGTTGATGCGAAAGACCAACACAAAGTAGCCAACAATTGAGGGAAGTAAAAGTTGTTGTTTTTAGCATCCTTAAAACTGAGACCCCTAAATAAAATTCAGTGTCATCTTCTTTGGCTTCTGTCGTCGGCTTCAGAAGCCAACAAAGTTGTGTCGCAGTGTTGCTGAATACAAGTGAATGCCATCTTTTTGGATTTTCATTTGTAAAAAAATAAAATAAAATAATGACAATCGTATTTTCCTTTTCTCCCACGTCACTACAGCGTCACTGTGCAGTCGCTTTGGTGTATTTCATACTCGTGTTGTCCTCTTACCATAGGGGGTAGCTGCGTGCCGGGCATCATGGCATTGGCAAGCTGCATCTGCTGGGCCAGCATGGCCATATTCTTCTGCTGAATCAGATTGTTCCTGCCATTGATCTCCAGCTGGGTCTTTAGATGGGGAGGAGGGTGCAGGTACTTGCAGTTCTCCCTGGAACAACGGCCCTGAGACGAAGAAAAACAAAAACAAAAACAAACAAACAAAAAAAAACAGAAGTGTCAACATTCGGTATTACTCATAAGTGATCCAGGTACGGTCGGATGAACTGCATCCACAACAAGTGCAAAGTTCCTAAGGAAGTGACAAAGATACGAAATAAAAATACGGGAGAAAAAAAAAATGCCAATGAGTCCCAGCGGTATTTAAACACAGCAGATGTTTTCTCCAAAACGACAATAATAAATGACAAACATTTATCTGCTGTAACTATCAGCAGATCTTTCAGATCCCACAGCAGCCCATGTTTTATGCGAACATGACGAAAACCAACATATTTCAAGTTCTGCTGCATTTATCATTAATAAAAAAAAAGACAAAACAAAAAAGACATTACACAGTTTCAAACAAATTACATCTGGTCAATGACAGACTGTTACATTCAAGTTGGGCTCAGTCTGTCACTAATTGTTAACAGCCTGCTATTTCTGTCGGTCCCAGCTGGGACATGTGAGCATGTGTGCAACAGCCTCAAGGGGTCATGACTGACATACAGTGCTGTTTTTCTCCAGATATCTAGTTTAAGGCACACAACATGTCTAAGTGACACCAAAAATACTCATGTGCTCATCTGACCCGTCTACATTATCCCAGGAGTCACGCAGAGGTCGACCCATCAAAGCTTCTGGCTAATTATTTAGGACAGAGATCACATTCTGCTTTCTGTAGCAAATATCATTCTATACTTTCAGTTTCTAGAATCGCCCAGCCAGAAGGCCCAAGGATGCATACACATTTATGCTTTTTGTGCACTCGAGAGCTCATTCTTTTGGAAGTAACGCTCGTACGACCAGCGTCCGATATGCACGGACACACACACACACACTCACGACCAGGTGCACAATGTATTAAAGGCGTGTGTTTACTTTCAGGCCAGCAGCAGGGCTTATCTAACTGTGGCACCTATCTCTTGCTGACAGAGTCGGGATTTATCTCTACACGTTGACGTGACTATATCCCACTCTTCAGTCTTCTTTTACTTTCACTGACACTGGAGAACCAGACAGGTGCGGAGGCGGGAGGATAAACAAGAACCACTATTGAGGCAAAACAGGGTGACCGTAAAACGGTTAAGGTGTTTTATTTATTTTCTGTTTGCTCAAAGCTACCGTCTCTGGCTCTTCCTGGATTTCCTTTTAAGGGTATTGCAGCATGTGCGGCTAATGGCAGGCTGACACCAATTAAGAATTCATGGATTGGATTTATGGACCTCTATATACAGGCCCTGTGATCTTCTGCACTGCTTGGATTATAAATTACAGCTTGATGTGGGTTGTTTCCTGATAAAATCTTCGAGGAAGTGGGAAATGATGGCACCTGTCACGTACCATTCTAGCGCGGAATCTGGTTCAAAAACTGTTTACATTCCCCAGCTCTAAATAAGTGCCAAAAATGTCAGACTAATGTAGAAAGCAGACCACATAAAGAGAAAAAAAAATGTGCTTGATGCTTTAATATTTAGACAACCTGCCCTCTTACTGCACTAAATAAAAAATGTGCCTGTGGAACTAAAACTAGCTGTAGGGAAATGTACAGCCAAAAATTTAACTCGTAGGTAACTTCCCATGTTGCAAGAACGAAAGAAAATGAAAGAAATGTAAGAAAATGAAAAAAAAAAACAATAATGTACTGACAAATACGGACATAAAGTTTTTATGCATACTGTTCAAACCATCTAAAATGTTGCCATGTCACAGCCACATACTTTGATGTACTACAAATGTTCTGTGTGTGCTAGAAAAACACAGAGTAATACACAACTGTGACAAGGAAGGAAATACTTAAAAATATTCACAAGTAAAAATACTGTAGCATGGTTTGTTTACCCTCCTGTGTCAGTACTTTGAAGAATCAGCTTTTCGTACATTTATAGCTGCAAGTCTTTCTGTGTTTGCTCTGCGCCTACAGAGTGAAATTTATTCACATTTTTTCGTGCAGCTTTGTCGGATTGGACGGGGGGGGGGGGGGCCTTTGGAAACCCCCCTTTGAAATCTTTTTCACAGTTGCAATTAAGCCTGGACTTGTTAACACATGTATATGCTGTATCTACTGTAGCGCTGGTTGTGTACCCTGAGGGCAGGTATTCTGCTGGAAGGTCCAGGTCTCAAGTGTTTTTTCAGTCTTCAGCAGGTTGTCTTACAGGGTTGCCCTGAATTTACCTTAATTCACCTTCAGTATAAAACCTGACCAACTTTGCTGCCTCTGTGCAGAACACCGCCACGTTTCGCCCTCGTATGGTGTTTACCTTTACACGGTGTTTTACGTGTTTGTGGTGTCCTTACATGGACGAACAGAACACCTTATAGCTTTCTTTCAACGGTGGCTCTCGTCTTGCCACTCTTCCATGAAGGGTTGATTTGTAGAGTGCATGGCCAATTCTTGTCCCGTCAACAGATTCTGAGAGGTGGATCTCTGGAGCTTCACTTGATCTAACATGTGCCGCTTCACTGCTTCTCTGAATAACGCCCACCTCAGACAGTTTACTTAGGCAACCTTATCTTGGTAGTTTTGCAGCTGTGGCATACTTTTCTAATTTCCTGATCCTGGAATGAACATTGTTTACGCAATACATCTGAATCTTAGGATATTGTTTTGTAACCTAACCCTGCTTTAAACCCCTTAAGCACAACTACATATCTGCCTGCTGTGTTCTTCAATCTTCATTATGCAATTTGAATTTCACTCATTTTCATTAATAAAACTTCAGGACAACTGTATTCACACTGAGGCATCATAATCACGTAGCTTCAGAAGTCAGTTGGGCTGCGCTGGATACGCATGAAATTCCCATATATGTGCAGATATATGTATCCACATATACATATATATGAAGTTATGCATTGCATACGAAGAAATGCATAATTTTTGAAAATCATGTATCATTTTCTAGCCACTTTGCAGTATCCATCACTTGGGGACCTATCATACCAATAAAAATATTGAAGTTTGTGGTTTTAACATGACAGAATATTCAACTCTTCAAGTTGCATTAATAATTTGACAAGGCATTGCATGAATCTAAATAACAGCATGTATTTATATGTATATATATATACTGAACAAAGACCAATGATATTCTCCTGTAATTTCAGGAAACTGGGAAAATGCCTAATTTAATTTGAAATACCCAGCTTTTTTTTTTTTTTTTTTTTTGAAGAGGAATATGAAATGTTTTTATTATTCCATAACAGTCCTTTCGGTGCTCGAGTAAATGTAATTTTATGACAAGCCAGATGCTGAGATGTGCAGGTCTGTGGCAGAAGATCTGTGCATGAGCATGAAAAAGGAGAAAAAAAAAAAAAGAGTTGAAAGCAGGTAGTCCAAAGCATAAAAATGATAGGCGGTGAGGGGTGGAAAGTGTGGGTGTGATTTCAATGTGGTGTGTGTGGAGGGAGGGGGTGGGGGAGCGGTGTGGGCTGGAAAGACATAAAAGATCATGTTGCGCTCACCCCACATGACCTCGACCGCTGACTGCCAGGGTTGGCAACTGGAGCAGCGTATGTGAATGAGTAAACCAACAACAAAAAAATAGATTCTAAGTAACCAGACCTGATCTAGTCGAGATGTTCAAAGAAAATGCCTGCTACCAGAACAGGTAGCCATTTTGAATAAGTAAGTCTGGGCCCAGAATAGGAAACGCCAGTCTGACTGTGACGAGAATGAGAGAAAGCGGGAGTCACGGCAACCCTGCGAGCCGGAGCGAGTCTGCGTCAGGGAAATCTTAGAAGTTGCAGAAGAAGAAGAAGAAGAAGAAGGAGTGATTAAAAAAAATGGGGGGACTGTCAAGCGCAGGAAAGTGATGCGGACTGAGACGAAAGGAAGACGCTGCCGTGTTTGTGTCTATTATGGTGACATCAGCGGCCTTGAGGAGTAGCTACAGATGGTGTCCACAGCAACGGAGCAGCCTGCCTGATCACTGGCAGACAGAGACAGTCAGAGAAGAAATCACTACTCGCCTTGCAGCCATAATTAGTTCAAATGCATCTGTGTGTCTGTACACCAGCCCAATTTGTTCCATGTCCACGCCAGTAATTAAAAAGGTCACTCTCAATGAAAACAAATGATGGAGGTGTCGTCTTCAATATTTCCATGCGCCGACTGACTCCACTATGAGATGCAAAAACCGAAAAGAGGATATCATCTCGTGACGCTGATGCAATTTAAATGTAATCATGCAAATGAAATGTTTGAAATGTGTAGCGCAGCCACACTTAAGAAAGCCTGCGTGGGGATGCTTTGAGGAAATCGGTGGCAATAATGGGGACGTAAAGACTGAATAATACGATCCATACTTAATGTTTATGCTTACAACGACGCGCTTTCTGAACGATTCACCAGCGTCGTGAGCCGATTCCCAGGAGTGCATTCAGGTTGTGAGCAGAGAAAATATAAATATTAATCTGTTAGTCAAAAAAATAAAATAAAATAAAGCAAACATGCAACAGTAGCTAACGTTGTCCTAAGATCATCGACAACCTCTTTCTTTTCCGGGTTCACTCCAGGTCATGCTTTTGTGCTATCTGTGGAAGTCTGAGCTTCTCCTGTAGAGATCAGACCAGGCGATATCCACTCAGGCCAAACTGGGAACAATAATCCCACCGGCTACTGGGCTGACTGTTTGATGATAAGTTGTAAAAACACGTCCCGCCCTGATCGCGCTCCCCTCTAACTCGCTGTCTCTCACCCACAGACACACACCCTGGTTTTGTAAGTATGTGGGAATTAAACAAACAGTGAAGCAATGTGTAAAGAATGCAGGGTGTGGCCGAATCCCATTCTTTTTGGGAGGAGATGAAGCATGGAACAAAATTTCATAAAATGCACACACGCTCGAGTGAAATGCCATATAAGATAAATGCAATAAAACTTAAGTGTTGACTTGAAATCTGTGATTACTGTTTAAATGATAATCAGAAAGGAGCTCCTATATATGGAAGACATTTTTCAGATTTCCATTTCCCCGGCATCGGCCTGTGAGTGTTCGGAGGATCAACAGGTTATGGTCACTATTGTGAAATCCTTATTTTCAGTCTTGCACTGTTGGAATCCATGTTNTTAGAGAACATCAGAGAAACAGAGCCACAACATCTTTGTGTGTACAACAATTACAATATCATATCATCAGTAGCAAGCAAGCAGCAGTCTGACACAAATACTACACAAGCAGGAGCATGATGCCTACTGGAGCTATGAGCTGACAGGCATTTACATATTAATAAAAAAAGGCTTTATTATTAACTTTACACACACATAAGGCTGACTAATAAAGCAAGCATTAACCATTAAAACAATGAGGCTGCTAACGAGGTGGAACAGGTAGTAAGCACAGAGAAAGGGAGGCTGCACTGCTAGCTCCATGATAAACTGTGTAAGCCATGTTTAAGTGATGGTTCACTCTCAGAAAAAAAATAAAAAAATCTATCAAAAATGGTTTAAAGCCAAGAAAATAAATAATCAAATAAATAACTGCAAGGCGTAACACTTGGCGTTAGGCCATTCTTGACTTCTGGTGATTAGTGTCAAGATCAAGATATGAGTGAACTATCATTTGTTACAACTAACCTGTTAATGTGGGATCACTCCTGTTTGGTTAGCCTAGCCCCCACCCAGATCCATTACCCATGCACTAGCAACACAGACATGCACACATTTGATTGACACTGACATTTAGACACACAAGACTTGAAGCCATGCCACTTTAATAGAAGCTCTACTTCCCTCGCCCTCGCTAACTTTTGTTAGACAGGCTGCAGGCGATGAAATGACTGTGGCTCTTTACCACAATCTGCAACAGTGAATTTGTGTTTTTGCACATTTGACACAAACCGTTTGAACTCTTAACGGGCCACAGTCATTGTATCACAAGCAGCAGTTATAGAGTAACAAGAAGAAGAAGGAGAAGAACACACACTGCACTGAGACGAACATTGTAAAACAAAACAAAACAAAAAAACACACAACAACAAAAAGCTAAGTATCTTTGGTTAAAACACTGCTGCACAACAAAGCCACATGCGTGCCAAGCTAAAAGGTGAAAGGTCATAGTACCAGGTCAAAGGTTGCGTCGAGGGGTCGCTTCAGTGATTTGACAGCCGACTGAGTCTTAATTAGCAGGCAGCGAGCACATGATGGCAATGGGCCAATGGGGTTCAAGCGCATTAACATAAACCAGCAAGCAGAGGTGCATCATGGGGGCAGCAGTGCAGTTTGGGTATAGGTGAGAAAAAACAAAAATAAAAAAACAAATCATTGGAATGCAATATACAAAGGGGATAACAGGGCTAAGGCATGCACAGTGTGGACATTAGCTCTACTACTCAACAGTTAAATCATCATCAGAGAGATGATAACTACCGGACTACAGTGGTTATTTTCACACAGGAATAAATGAAAACAGAAAATTATTCAACCATCATTTGAAAAGAGCCTCAGCAAATAAACAGCAAAAAAAAAAAAAAATGTACAGAGGTGTAAATTCACATTTCTCCGTTTCACTGTGCACGTCACGTCACATTACACTGATTCACCCCCATGTTCTCTGTATTGCTGCACCACTAAAAAGCACGTGGAGATAAACGGGACGTGTGGCTGCGCTACTAATTCACCGGCACCATCACAGCAGGAAAAGACAGAAGGCACAATGAAATCGTTTCAAATAATATCAAGAGGAAGAGAAGTTGTAGGTAGGAACAACAGAAACAATGGAGTCATAAAGGAGGCCAGGCAGAGAGAGACGGACAGAAAAGGAACTGGACTCTCTGCTCGTGGTCTGAGATGAGATGAACAAGGAACGAAACAAATGGTTTGACAAATGAGGAAGAAGAAAAAAAAAACGCTTGACATGACAGTAGTCCTGGTTACAGTACACTGTTGTCTCATCCTTCTTCATGTCATCCAGCACAGAGCAGATTTTACCCACACCAACATGCAGACCTTTTAATATTTGACCTGGCAAAAGCAGAACTGAAAATGTTACACAACAACCAATTAGGAAGGCGAGACACGTTCAAACATGAAGGTGATTAACTTTGGCTCAACACAGCTACACTTGCTAGCAAATACAAAACTTCTCTCTCTCTCTCTCTGTCTTTTCTGGATTTGAATGAGTGCGACCGCACTGAAAGGGAACGCTCACCATGGCCGCGGCAGCCGTGGCCTGGTTCACCTGATGCTGGGTGGCCTTAATTTTGGCCTGCAGGTGGGCCGGGGGGTGAAAGTACTTGCACTTTTCCCTGGTGCACCGGCCCTTGATGTAGTCCATGCACACAGTGACGGTGTTGTCATTGGTGTCAATCATGGTGCTGTCTGCAGGGTGAGCGAAGCGGCACTCGCCCTCCCCCCGAGCGCAGTTTCCCCTCTGGTACTCCCGGCACACCTAAATGAGTCAGAGGGAGAATGGTTAAACAGTTTCCACGTCAAAATCAAAACGCTGCGAAGTAGTAAATAAAAGTAAAAAAAAAAAGAAAAAGAAAAGAAAAATATGTACGACATGATCGAAATGCTTCTCTTTGACTCAACAACACCTACTGCTACTAAAAGTATCTAACATGTTGATTATTAAGGTTATAATGACGTTAATTGTTACGTTTATTTACTGTTGCTTTGATATTGATTTGTAGCTATAAAACAATTAGTAATAAATTGTTTATTGCGCAGGACAGACACACCTTTTTCTCCTTAATAACAGATTCTAATAAACAGAGAATTACACAGTACAAGGTACAAAATCTGTATTTAAAATATTTCTATTTGGTTAAATGTGTAAAGATAAAAATGTAAAATATTATAGTGAACCCATTTAGTAGTTGGAACACTTAGTGGTATGTGCTAGTTTTCCTGTTGTGTTACATTTTTAAAGAGTTTTGGTCTTAAAACTGTATTTTTGGGCAAGATTATTACATTTAAAATCTACCAATTTCTTAATGTTATTTTCCTTTGTTACATTACTGATGGTTCCACTTGCTTAAAGCAGAGGTCAAGTAGGATTTTAGGCATACAAAAGAGATTTTAAGTAAATGTCTTTAAAAAAGTTAAACAAGTGGAGGGGGGAGACCTGGTGTAAGCAGCATGCTTTGTGGTTTAATGCCGTTTGTTATTAAAAGGTAAACATTTTTCCAGTATGAACAAATACGATATGCACAGTTTAATCTTCAGAAGCTTCTCAAGTTTAACTTTGAGACAGTAGAGGGCAGCACTTTCTTTAAAATAAGAGCTAAAACCTTCTTTTAGCACCTAACCTGAATTGAACAGAAATGTTGCTGTGCATGCTTCGTCTTCTAACTAATACATGAGCAAGATTGAGTTAAATCTGCTAGTGCAATATTGAAGATTTTTCAACATCAGAGATTATAGATTATTTTCTGTGTTTTTTTAAGAGTCATATCTTTGCTGCTGGTGCTTTCTGCTCAACCAAAAGCAATTTCCACACAAATCAGAATTTCTTCTGGTGATTTCAGTCATGAAAAACCTCAAGACGGCAGCAGCAGGGACATGAAGGACAACTTCTCCTGTGACTTGGGCCTTCGAGTAGAAAGAGTCCCATTTTTTGTGTTTTTTATCTTCTATTAAACCTGTGATGTTCACATTTACCCATTGCATGAAGTACATTTGGTTAAAGTGAACGTCTTACTGGGATACAGTAGACTGCCTTCTAACAGGAGCATTTTCCCTTGAAAACAAAAAATGCTGAGAAATAAACAGGTTGCACCCATTGTTTTGTCTGTTACCTCAAGCCGGTCTGTTCTCAGCAGTTTCTGGGCTGCGGCAGCAGCGGCATTGGGAACTTGGCTGACGGTGGGGCTGGAGGCCATGAGCATGGGGGTGCTGGGCAGGATCTCCGGAGGCATCAGGCTCGGAGACACAGGGCTCAGGTAGGGATTAAAGGCTGCAGCGGCAGCAGCTGCTGCTGCGCTGGCGTTGGTCGCCAGGCCTGGTGTCACTGAAAACATGGGCTGGAGCAGGAACAAAACAAAAAGTAAAAAAAAAAAAAAAACTCTGATTGTGAGACTGTTTGCATTCACAAGCCTTCTGTTTGAGAAAATATACAAACTAATGACAAAAACAGCTGAAGAGAGATGAAGTTACGTGGAAGGCCTTATGAAAGAAGTTTATATTTGAACTTTTTCACAATTTGTCACCTTAAAAACACAAACTTCAGCTTCCCATGTCGTTGTTTAACTGACAATGTTTGATTGAGAGTTGATGCGAAAGACCAACACAAAGTAGCCAACAATTGAGGGAAGTAAAAGTTGTTGTTTTTAGCATCCTTAAAACTGAGACCCCTAAATAAAATTCAGTGTCATCTTCTTTGGCTTCTGTCGTCGGCTTCAGAAGCCAACAAAGTTGTGTCGCAGTGTTGCTGAATACAAGTGAATGCCATCTTTTTGGATTTTCATTTGTAAAAAAATAAAATAAAATAATGACAATCGTATTTTCCTTTTCTCCCACGTCACTACAGCGTCACTGTGCAGTCGCTTTGGTGTATTTCATACTCGTGTTGTCCTCTTACCATAGGGGGTAGCTGCGTGCCGGGCATCATGGCATTGGCAAGCTGCATCTGCTGGGCCAGCATGGCCATATTCTTCTGCTGAATCAGATTGTTCCTGCCATTGATCTCCAGCTGGGTCTTTAGATGGGGAGGAGGGTGCAGGTACTTGCAGTTCTCCCTGGAACAACGGCCCTGAGACGAAGAAAAACAAAAACAAAAACAAACAAACAAAAAAAAACAGAAGTGTCAACATTCGGTATTACTCATAAGTGATGCAGGTACGGTCGGATGAACTGCATCCACAACAAGTGCAAAGTTCCTAAGGAAGTGACAAAGATACGAAATAAAAATACGGGAGAAAAAAAAAATGCCAATGAGTCCCAGCGGTATTTAAACACAGCAGATGTTTTCTCCAAAACGACAATAATAAATGACAAACATTTATCTGCTGTAACTATCAGCAGATCTTTCAGATCCCACAGCAGCCCATGTTTTATGCGAACATGACGAAAACCAACATATTTCAAGTTCTGCTGCATTTATCATTAATAAAAAAAAAGACAAAACAAAAAAGACATTACACAGTTTCAAACAAATTACATCTGGTCAATGACAGACTGTTACATTCAAGTTGGGCTCAGTCTGTCACTAATTGTTAACAGCCTGCTATTTCTGTCGGTCCCAGCTGGGACATGTGAGCATGTGTGCAACAGCCTCAAGGGGTCATGACTGACATACAGTGCTGTTTTTCTCCAGATATCTAGTTTAAGGCACACAACATGTCTAAGTGACACCAAAAATACTCATGTGCTCATCTGACCCGTCTACATTATCCCAGGAGTCACGCAGAGGTCGACCCATCAAAGCTTCTGGCTAATTATTTAGGACAGAGATCACATTCTGCTTTCTGTAGCAAATATCATTCTATACTTTCAGTTTCTAGAATCGCCCAGCCAGAAGGCCCAAGGATGCATACACATTTATGCTTTTTGTGCACTCGAGAGCTCATTCTTTTGGAAGTAACGCTCGTACGACCAGCGTCCGATATGCACGGACACACACACACACACTCACGACCAGGTGCACAATGTATTAAAGGCGTGTGTTTACTTTCAGGCCAGCAGCAGGGCTTATCTAACTGTGGCACCTATCTCTTGCTGACAGAGTCGGGATTTATCTCTACACGTTGACGTGACTATATCCCACTCTTCAGTCTTCTTTTACTTTCACTGACACTGGAGAACCAGACAGGTGCGGAGGCGGGAGGATAAACAAGAACCACTATTGAGGCAAAACAGGGTGACCGTAAAACGGTTAAGGTGTTTTATTTATTTTCTGTTTGCTCAAAGCTACCGTCTCTGGCTCTTCCTGGATTTCCTTTTAAGGGTATTGCAGCATGTGCGGCTAATGGCAGGCTGACACCAATTAAGAATTCATGGATTGGATTTATGGACCTCTATATACAGGCCCTGTGATCTTCTGCACTGCTTGGATTATAAATTACAGCTTGATGTGGGTTGTTTCCTGATAAAATCTTCGAGGAAGTGGGAAATGATGGCACCTGTCACGTACCATTCTAGCGCGGAATCTGGTTCAAAAACTGTTTACATTCCCCAGCTCTAAATAAGTGCCAAAAATGTCAGACTAATGTAGAAAGCAGACCACATAAAGAGAAAAAAAAATGTGCTTGATGCTTTAATATTTAGACAACCTGCCCTCTTACTGCACTAAATAAAAAATGTGCCTGTGGAACTAAAACTAGCTGTAGGGAAATGTACAGCCAAAAATTTAACTCGTAGGTAACTTCCCATGTTGCAAGAACGAAAGAAAATGAAAGAAATGTAAGAAAATGAAAAAAAAAAACAATAATGTACTGACAAATACGGACATAAAGTTTTTATGCATACTGTTCAAACCATCTAAAATGTTGCCATGTCACAGCCACATACTTTGATGTACTACAAATGTTCTGTGTGTGCTAGAAAAACACAGAGTAATACACAACTGTGACAAGGAAGGAAATACTTAAAAATATTCACAAGTAAAAATACTGTAGCATGGTTTGTTTACCCTCCTGTGTCAGTACTTTGAAGAATCAGCTTTTCGTACATTTATAGCTGCAAGTCTTTCTGTGTTTGCTCTGCGCCTACAGAGTGAAATTTATTCACATTTTTTCGTGCAGCTTTGTCGGATTGGACGGGGGGGGGGGGGGCCTTTGGAAACCCCCCTTTGAAATCTTTTTCACAGTTGCAATTAAGCCTGGACTTGTTAACACATGTATATGCTGTATCTACTGTAGCGCTGGTTGTGTACCCTGAGGGCAGGTATTCTGCTGGAAGGTCCAGGTCTCAAGTGTTTTTTCAGTCTTCAGCAGGTTGTCTTACAGGGTTGCCCTGAATTTACCTTAATTCACCTTCAGTATAAAACCTGACCAACTTTGCTGCCTCTGTGCAGAACACCGCCACGTTTCGCCCTCGTATGGTGTTTACCTTTACACGGTGTTTTACGTGTTTGTGGTGTCCTTACATGGACGAACAGAACACCTTATAGCTTTCTTTCAACGGTGGCTCTCGTCTTGCCACTCTTCCATGAAGGGTTGATTTGTAGAGTGCATGGCCAATTCTTGTCCCGTCAACAGATTCTGAGAGGTGGATCTCTGGAGCTTCACTTGATCTAACATGTGCCGCTTCACTGCTTCTCTGAATAACGCCCACCTCAGACAGTTTACTTAGGCAACCTTATCTTGGTAGTTTTGCAGCTGTGGCATACTTTTCTAATTTCCTGATCCTGGAATGAACATTGTTTACGCAATACATCTGAATCTTAGGATATTGTTTTGTAACCTAACCCTGCTTTAAACCCCTTAAGCACAACTACATATCTGCCTGCTGTGTTCTTCAATCTTCATTATGCAATTTGAATTTCACTCATTTTCATTAATAAAACTTCAGGACAACTGTATTCACACTGAGGCATCATAATCACGTAGCTTCAGAAGTCAGTTGGGCTGCGCTGGATACACATGAAATACCCATATATGTGCAGATATATGTATCCACATATACATATATATGAAGTTATGCATTGCATACGAAGAAATGCATAATTTTTGAAAATCATGTATCATTTTCTAGCCACTTTGCAGTATCCATCACTTGGGGACCTATCATACCAATAAAAATATTGAAGTTTGTGGTTTTAACATGACAGAATATTCAACTCTTCAAGTTGCATTAATAATTTGACAAGGCATTGCATGAATCTAAATAACAGCATGTATTTATATGTATATATATATACTGAACAAAGACCAATGATATTCTCCTGTAATTTCAGGAAACTGGGAAAATGCCTAATTTAATTTGAAATACCCAGCTTTTTTTTTTTTTTTTTTTTTGAAGAGGAATATGAAATGTTTTTATTATTCCATAACAGTCCTTTCGGTGCTCGAGTAAATGTAATTTTATGACAAGCCAGATGCTGAGATGTGCAGGTCTGTGGCAGAAGATCTGTGCATGAGCATGAAAAAGGAGAAAAAAAAAAAAAGAGTTGAAAGCAGGTAGTCCAAAGCATAAAAATGATAGGCGGTGAGGGGTGGAAAGTGTGGGTGTGATTTCAATGTGGTGTGTGTGGAGGGAGGGGGTGGGGGAGCGGTGTGGGCTGGAAAGACATAAAAGATCATGTTGCGCTCACCCCACATGACCTCGACCGCTGACTGCCAGGGTTGGCAACTGGAGCAGCGTATGTGAATGAGTAAACCAACAACAAAAAAATAGATTCTAAGTAACCAGACCTGATCTAGTCGAGATGTTCAAAGAAAATGCCTGCTACCAGAACAGGTAGCCATTTTGAATAAGTAAGTCTGGGCCCAGAATAGGAAACGCCAGTCTGACTGTGACGAGAATGAGAGAAAGCGGGAGTCACGGCAACCCTGCGAGCCGGAGCGAGTCTGCGTCAGGGAAATCTTAGAAGTTGCAGAAGAAGAAGAAGAAGAAGAAGGAGTGATTAAAAAAAATGGGGGGACTGTCAAGCGCAGGAAAGTGATGCGGACTGAGACGAAAGGAAGACGCTGCCGTGTTTGTGTCTATTATGGTGACATCAGCGGCCTTGAGGAGTAGCTACAGATGGTGTCCACAGCAACGGAGCAGCCTGCCTGATCACTGGCAGACAGAGACAGTCAGAGAAGAAATCACTACTCGCCTTGCAGCCATAATTAGTTCAAATGCATCTGTGTGTCTGTACACCAGCCCAATTTGTTCCATGTCCACGCCAGTAATTAAAAAGGTCACTCTCAATGAAAACAAATGATGGAGGTGTCGTCTTCAATATTTCCATGCGCCGACTGACTCCACTATGAGATGCAAAAACCGAAAAGAGGATATCATCTCGTGACGCTGATGCAATTTAAATGTAATCATGCAAATGAAATGTTTGAAATGTGTAGCGCAGCCACACTTAAGAAAGCCTGCGTGGGGATGCTTTGAGGAAATCGGTGGCAATAATGGGGACGTAAAGACTGAATAATACGATCCATACTTAATGTTTATGCTTACAACGACGCGCTTTCTGAACGATTCACCAGCGTCGTGAGCCGATTCCCAGGAGTGCATTCAGGTTGTGAGCAGAGAAAATATAAATATTAATCTGTTAGTCAAAAAAATAAAATAAAATAAAGCAAACATGCAACAGTAGCTAACGTTGTCCTAAGATCATCGACAACCTCTTTCTTTTCCGGGTTCACTCCAGGTCATGCTTTTGTGCTATCTGTGGAAGTCTGAGCTTCTCCTGTAGAGATCAGACCAGGCGATATCCACTCAGGCCAAACTGGGAACAATAATCCCACCGGCTACTGGGCTGACTGTTTGATGATAAGTTGTAAAAACACGTCCCGCCCTGATCGCGCTCCCCTCTAACTCGCTGTCTCTCACCCACAGACACACACCCTGGTTTTGTAAGTATGTGGGAATTAAACAAACAGTGAAGCAATGTGTAAAGAATGCAGGGTGTGGCCGAATCCCATTCTTTTTGGGAGGAGATGAAGCATGGAACAAAATTTCATAAAATGCACACACGCTCGAGTGAAATGCCATATAAGATAAATGCAATAAAACTTAAGTGTTGACTTGAAATCTGTGATTACTGTTTAAATGATAATCAGAAAGGAGCTCCTATATATGGAAGACATTTTTCAG